GCAGTTACACGTACATGTACATGCACATGTACGTGCAATTTTAAATTAAATTATTAATACATTACTACAATATGATGTCAAAATCCTATATAGTGATATACAATAACAGAAGAACCTGTGCAGAGAAGAAGACAAGTGACCTGGGGGATTATTTGGAAAAGGACTGGAAATCAAACTTGTTTCCCATTCCACGGACGAATTTCAATTTAAATACAAAACCTCTATGGATAATTTCCAAGTTACCATCGGAAGAAAACTGCTCCAGGGGCTTTCTCTCGGTGAGTCGAAAGCTGACTGTGTGAGGTGTCACAAAAGCAAAGTCTCCTTGGCTATTAAAAATTCGCCAGTGCCATCCTTCTCCTAAAAGAGAGTTAAAGGCCGTCAAAAGTTCCAAATGGAATTGACGGGATTCTGTAAGTTTCCCAAGCGATGCAATTTCGTCAAACAACTCTCTCTGGATTGGCAATTCAATGTTCATAATACTGTCAACTTTGCGTTGGCCATGGAGTGACTCCTTGATGGAAATCTTGAGCTGCTCCACAAAGAAGGCCCTTCCCTCCGGAGTACTTTCCACAAAGCAGTTGGGAATGTCAATTATTGCATCAGCTGGCCGCCATTCATCATATTCTGCAGATTTCCATTCCTCATCTGTGTAGTGGACCTTTACAAAAAGTTTGTCTTGAACAAATTTAGAGTCCACCACCACCAAACTGTAAAGTTTAGTTGTTGACTAAGACTTTTTCGGTAGGCCTACCCGATCCGTTGGCAAAGATGGTCCACTGTTCAACAGCCGGTAGTCCACTCGTCCAGTTTGCCGGAGCCTCGAGCTTCTCAAATTGCTGTCATCAGAATCAGCCATGAAATCTGTATGGAAATACATGTAAACCATCGAAACAATCAATAAATCACTCAGCAAGTTCACTGTTGAAAACAGAAATGAAAGTCATGGGGTTTGTACACTTATCATGGCTATTTTTAAGTAAACATCACATGTAAAATAAAGCTAAAAATCTCACCTCTTCATGCACTGCAAGTACATGTGTATGCCACGTGTGCATCCCACGCTGGCAGGCTGGCACTACACGTATCACCCCTCTACATGAGATGAACTGATCCACGCGATCAGGTTGGCATTTGCGGTAAAAAAAAGGAGGCTAAAATGGCACCAAAATGAAGTCTAGCAGGTTTACAAAAAGACCTACACAGAGCAGAAAAGCATCCTTGTCATCAACAATATGAGTAAATCGATTGAAATAGATCAGAGCATCAAAACAAATACGAGAATAGTACACATGGCTCGTTCGACAAGTAAAATCTACGGCGGAAGCGTGTCATGGGCAAGTCTGGTGCCAGTCGCCAGACCGCTGCACACCACATACGCAAGTGCCGCGGTTGCAATAGGTCCGTAGACCGGACTATAAATGAACAGCAGGTCGTACCTCAGAACAAAAGCGATGTCTGATTTGACAAGAAAAGTGCCCCTTGTTCTTCTCAACCAATCAAAATGATTGTTACATGAATGGAAAGCTTATTGTTTCCTCTTTCAGAAACCGTGCGAGGTAATTGTATGCGACCGAGTTCACACGTGTGCTGTTCGAAGAAGTAAACCCGCACCCTCAAAAATCGGGGAAATGTGCCGTGACCTCCATAGGAAACGCGAAATTTTCACTGAGTTGCCCGTTTTTCAATGAAAAAGTGCACATAGTTCTTCGCCTCCAATCATGAAGAAATGATATTCATATGAAAGAGAGAAATCTGTATTTTGTGATGCGATGCGAGGAAGTAAGTTTAACCAACACACTTTCCGCATATTAATGAAAGTTTGCTCAGAGCGCCCTGAAATGTGCCAGTCTTCCCACGTAAACAGAGCTGCACTAGTGGCGAATGAGCAAATGCGCCCTAGTTCTCCATATGAGACCCTTGCTATGCATGAGGATATTCCATAGCACCCATGAGGATATTCTTAGCACCCATCTCCCTACAATTAAGAACAATCCACAATGCAGTGTGAGTGTGCCAACAAGTGTTTGCCTCAAGAGGCCACTTTTCAACTTGACGGTCTATTTAAAAGTATACTAACTTCTACAAAATACACTTACCTGTACATTGAAGTACATTGGGGAATCTGTTCTTGTTTTTGCAGACAGGTTTCTTGGCTTCCTCACAGTTGACTGCCACTGACATTTCATTTAGCACCTGAAGTTTAAAGTAAACAAATTGACAACACATGTTACAATACTTTTTCTCTTTCTAGCTCAGACTTCAATTACAATTGACAATTGTTGACTAACGTGATGTGGGAGCAGTGGTGTATCCAGGGGAGGGGGCAGGGGAGGGGATGGGGGGGGGGGGGCACCTTGTCCCATGCCCCCTGCAGCTTTTTTGAAAGATATTTTTTTAGTAACTATTTCCATAAATGGTTAGAGAGTTCTGACACGAAAAAAAAAAGAAACCAAACTCAAAAATCATTACAATGAGCCATGAAAATCGGCATATATTTTCCAGTATGCGTAATAATGGTCAGTTTTGAAGAGCGCCCCCATTTGGATAATGGGTACCAGCCCGCCCCCCCCCCCCCTTTTTTGATTTTACGAAGGCCGAGTGTTCGGGGATGTGTGAGTGCGGTTGCCCCCCTGACATAAAAAGCTGGATAGGCCACTGTGTGGGATATGACGTTTTTAACACCCAAGGGCTGCATTTGGCCTCGGTTGCTATGTACATGTATGACCAACACATTACACACTGGGGCACAGGTTGCATTTTGCAGTCCATGTCCAGTACACCCATAATGAACTCACTTTTGATGCGAGAAACCTTTAAAATGATTATTTACTTGTTTTTGTTTTCTTTGCAAGCTTGACACCAAAAGAAACAATGCTTCTTTGGGAAAATCTGTTACTTTAAAAGCATTTTTTTAAACTTAACTAAAGCCATCACAAATATCTGATATTGCAATCCCATATCAAATGTCTGAATTGTAATTATTTATGCACAGTATAGACACTGTTCACAGTCTTCAAATAATCATGAAAATTCCTTTAGAAATGTGAAAAGGAATATTATGTGTATAAGATGCCATACAATGCTGTATTTAGGTTTCAAGATTTCCAAATGGGACTGACAGGAATAACCAACTTATTATGTTCTATATGTTGTACTGTAATCTAGTGAGTGTCATGCAAAGATTTTTGCAAATATTCCCTTCATACAGATGTACAAACATGTACAGGTAGGCCTATAGTTCAACATATCACATGTGTGTTAAATTCATATTTCCGCTTCAGTGTAACACAATGACTGGAACAGGCCTTTGGTAAATCTATTGTACCAGAAACTGGGCCTTTGAAAGGGTTCACAAAATAACAATACCTGTTGACTAGGCAATACAAGTTCAACTGTGTGACCTGTGATCCATTGCAGTCTGGTGTATTTATAGAATTGGGAATTTACAGGCAGTGAGCAATGCCACACCCTACAGACATTCAAGTCAATCCAGAGAGTGAGAATCCACCAAATAGTCCACCAGTTTCTTCATCAAACAGCCAAACTGATTGCAGAAATATCTTCTGACATCATTCAGGTATGTTTAGTTGAGAATTAGCCCCATAAATGTGGCCCATTTACTGGACTGCCTCCGTAAACATAGGCCACACATCCACATGTACAAAAAACGTGTCGACTTTGCCAAATTTTGATTTTCACATTTAGGCTTACTTTGTAGATTTTTTTTGCTTTAGAAGCATTCTCACCCTCTATATAGGCTAATCAGAAAGTGCTGCCTTTTTTCAGATGTTCATTTTTCGTGAAATTTCCAGATACATTTGCACACGTTTGCGTATCAAAATTTCAACATGAAATTTTACAAAAATTAACCATCTGAAAAAGGCAGCACTTTCTGATTAGCCTATATAGAGGGTGAGAATGCTTATAAAGCAAAACAAATCTACAAAGTAAGCCTAAATGTGAAAATCAAAATTTGGCAAAGTCGACACATTTTTTGTACATATGTGGATGTGTGGCCTATGTTTACGGAGGCAGTCCAGTAAATAGGCCACATTTATGGGGCTAGTTGAGAATAAGCTTGACAAATGTAACACAATAGGCATAGGAATCTGTGCAGACATTTGACTACCAATTTGTACGGTACTTCAGTTTCCTTCTCTGATGCACTATGAACAGTGTGTTTGATAAAGCAGTCTGAAGAAGTTCATGAAAGCACAAAATTTATGCAGAAAACTGAATTCATGCACACATGCACCTACCGACATGACCTACCACGCTATCAATGGATAAGTCCTATTTTTCAGTTCATATAAACGTAAACAAATAATACTTTAGGCCACATTTGTTGAATTTTAGATTGCAGATCCACTGATTTAAAAAAAATCTTTGCCAATTTTACAGTTTTAAATATTTATACAACGTTTGGCCAATTTTTAATTTTATATTTCCAACAAACATAACATAAAACAATTGGCATTGTTGAAAAAGAAGTATGAAATTGACCATTTATAAATATCACTACTCAGCCTGAAAAGCGTCAGTTTCTCTATCAAAATGTTCTTCAGCCAAACATTATCTGTGTTTTGATGCTAGCTACAGCAGGCATATTGACAACTTCCATGGCTACTATGTAGCAATACGGAACAAAACTGTGCTTGGTCAATTGGATATTGCACGTTTATCTTGATCGCAACCCGTTCAAGATCAGACAACTTCTGTATATTTTTCTCTTTTAGTTCAAAAATAAATAATTTATTTGTGAAATTTCTGCCCAAGATGACTTTTTTTTCAGAAGAAACATGAGTTGGAATTTCACTATCAAGTTTGATTTTGCCGGTTTGCGTAGGTGCATTTTTGTATCAACTTATCTATGCTTACAACAACCATATCATCATTTGAAATTTGAATACATGCAAATCCTAAACCTTTTAATCAATGTGCTTCATTTTCAGATTTAAGGTCTATCTACCACTATTACATCAAACCAACCAGTGAAGATGGCATCTAATGTTACAGTGCAATCAGTGTTGGAGAAGATTAGTGTGCATCATCTGGAATGCTCCATCTGCACCAACCGTTTCAGGCAGCCCAAACTGCTGGACTGTTTACATAGTTTTTGCCTGCAATGCCTTCAAGAGCTCAGAAAGAGCCAAGATCCCAGTGGTACAAAACTGACATGTCCTCTGTGCAGACGTAAAACTATGTTGAAAGGGCCTGGGGTTGCTGATCTCCCTAATAACTTTGCATTCAGTGCCCTGGTGGAGGAAGTTACAATGCAGGAAAAGCTACTGGAAGGTCAAGGGTCAGACATCAAATGTCAAGCCTGTGATGAGGAGAATCAGGCTATTTCAAGATGCATGGACTGTGATCATTTCCTCTGTCAAGAATGTGAAAAGGCTCATGGGCGTATGACTGTCATGAAATCTCATAAAATCTACACACTGGCTCAACTTCGATCAGGAGAGATAGTCTACAAGAGCAAACTAAGAGAAGAAGTTCCCAAATGTAGCAAGCACCTAGATCAGAATCTCAATGTCTACTGCAACTCATGTGAGCAAGTCATATGCACAACTTGCTCTGTAGTTGATCATGCAAAACACTCACTCACTGACTTACCTGAGGCTTTTAAGCAATGTAAAATAAAAGTTGAACAACTGGTAGTAAAAGCTGAGAGGAGTAAAACGGAACTGACCACTACCATACAGCAGACATGCAAATCTCGCAAGAAACTCAACACCATGTTCACTGACACTACAAGGAAAATCTCAGAAAAAGCTGCCAAAATCAAAAAGGAGGAGCAGAAACTGTTACAAAAGACTGAAAGGATTTATCAAGAGAGAATCAAAGCTATCGAAGCCGCTCAAGCTACCAACGGGAAAGACGTGACACAAACAGAGCAGAAGCTGGAGGAGGTGGAACAATTCATGAATCAAGCAAGTTGCTATGAGATTCTTGAACTTCAGCAGAAGCTCTTGCATAACCTCAGTGAATTGACAGGGAAGCAGCCACAGCAAGTTCCTGAAAACTTTAACTTCATGGACTTTGAAGAAGGTGATAGGTCACTTGGGAGTCTCGTTCTGGAAGAAGAGTCAAAAGCTGCAGAAAAGCAATCACCAAGATGTGGAAGATCAAGTAAGAAGGCAAAGTGCAAACTGAAGACTGAAGTTAAGAATGCATGTGGTGAGTCACTTGGTGGTCTCATTTTGGAGGAACATACTGAGGCTGTTGCACAGCAATCACCAAGATCTGGAAGATCAAGTGAGAATGTGAAGTGGAAACTGAAGACTGAAATTGAGAACTTGACAGTAACATCCTTATGCAGAAAAGTTGCAGCACTCTCCAACAATAAAATACTTCTATATGACAGTTGGAATAATGCACTGCTAAAAAATGCACTGCATAATAATGCACCGCATTATGATACTAAGAAAGCAACATCTTTTACCATCGCAATGGAAGAATGGTACAGACCCCTCACTGATGTAAGGTGTATTGCAGTAAGCAAGGATGACAAGCTCCATGTTCTAGACGGTCAAGAAGTCAAGGTCTTCAACAACAAACATAATATCCTTCATCAGTTCAGACCACGTCAAGGGTCAGATAGTCGACCATCATGCCTTGCAGTGGATGACAGCAATCTGATAGCAGTGGGTTATGAAGGCATGGATGAGATATCTCTACACAACCCAGATGGATCCCTCATCAGGAGACTGCCTGCTCCATTCGTTGGATGTTATCTGACAATGTACAATCACCGCCTTATCTACACAACACCCCAAGAGTTAGTATCTGTCGACTATGATGGAACAGGTGAATTCTTGGTAGACACGAAAGAGAAAACTTTAGGTGTGTGCTGTGACAGTGATAGCAGCATTTATGTTGCTGTGGGTGGATATTCAACAGGTGACATTTTGCATTACAGTCCTGATGGCAGGTACATTGGACGCGTGATCAAGGGATGTGGTTGTCCACAGGGCATCACAATCACATCAGGTGGTGATCTGGTAGTGGCAGCAAGAAAGACTATACAGATATATCATCGTCCTTGAGGACATAATTACACTCAGAAAAACTACTATATGGGCATTCCATGTCCAATCACCCCCCAAAAGTAAAGTAAACCCCACCTCCTTCAAATAAGTTCACATTTAGTGTATGGAGTATTTTAGTAAATTAAGCTAAAATCTTAAGTTTAAGAGCAATCGGACTACGGTTTTCAGGCTGCCACTTAAAATTTTGGTCAAAATTTGCATGGCTGCCAATTTCCAAATGACCATATCTTCATTACATGTTGGCTAGGTTTGTCAATCTTGGCTTCTTTGGAAAGGATACATCATAAGAAATCAAAATGTACCATTATTTTCCATGTTGGAGCAATTTGAGGTATGACAATTTGACCTTAAATCTGACCCCGTACATCACGTGATGTTGAGATGAACTGGATAAAACTTATAACCCAACATGCACATTTTTTTACAAAATATAGAAAAAAAATTCGGTGTAAAATACTTTTTGTTTGGTTACCTCATCTCAAAGTTGGCAAACTCATTGCAAAATATACTTTAAAAGCAATGATTTTTGGTCCTAAAATGTGTACATATGTACAAAGGTTTTTTCACCGATTCTAAATACACTTAGAAAATAATAACCACAAGATTACAGGCTAATATTCTCAGAATATCAGCACACAGTCTGCAAATATATCATATCATATGATATATATCAGATATCATCTCGCTGAGAAAAAAAAATTCCTTCAATTTTTTGCTAGGTTTTTCAATAGATGGGATAACTACACACAGATTTCATTATGATTAAATGACTGCAACTTATATTTGAAATAGGAAAAATTGTATACCTACAAAAGACAAAAGTAATGACCAAGAAGCAACTGCATGACAGATTCATGTGTAATCAATGTTAAAGTTTAACAAAAAATCATATGCAGTCCCTTGGTTGTTTCTTTCACACATTTTTTTTTCTGAGTGTCACATCATATTAATGCGTCATACATTAACATCTCTGTAGCTATGTAAACTATTTGTATTGAAATACAACTTGTATAAAACTTTTAGTTATACATGGATGAATGCAAATGTTGCTTAATAATTGGGTTGTAAATTTGTAAATTTATATTTTTCTTTTTTGTGGAATGATAAGACAACAGATGATGCATTTGGATCATTCTATACATTGTACATTCGGGGTCCACTTTTTGCCTAGTCCATACATCTGTCACCTGTTATTTTGTAATTGGGGATGCAATCCTTCATAATGTATGTATTCTTCTTCCAAGAGTACTTATGTGAAGCAAATAACCTGCCCCCAAATATACAATTGTTTGGAAGTAATTTTTTTATGCCACTTGAAAGGAAAATGTTACAGGGACAGAAAAAAGTCATTAGTTGGACTCCACATGTATACAGAATGACCAACTTGTTTTGCATCTTGAATAAGTACATGTATTGGTAAATTTGTAAATTTGTATTTTTCTTTTTGTGGAATGATAAGACAACAGATGATGCATTTGGATCATTCTGTACATTTGGGGTCTACTTTTTGCCTGGCCCATACATCCGTCACCTGATATTTTGTAGCTCAGGATTCAATCCGTCATAATGTATGTATTCGTCTTCCAAGAGTACTTACATCAAGCAAATAACCTGCCCAAACAAATACAATTGTTTGGAAGTAATTTTTTTATGCCACTTGAAAGGAAAAATGTTACAGGGACAGAAAAAGTCTTTAGTTGGACTCCACATGTATAAAGAATGACCAACTTGTTTTGTATCTTGAATAAGTACATATGTATTGGTATCGGTTTGCTAAATGTTGAAAGACCAAGTTACCTTCTCTCTTGGCCTGGCTGGCTTGATGAACAAAGTTTGAGAAAATGGAAGGAATATATTATGAGGTTGGCACATGGCCTATTGAAAGCCAGTGTGCAATGTATATTGAGTCAACACATCTGGGGTCAGACTTGTATTTACGTTATTTGTTTTCACATATAATGAACGGCATATGCCGTTCATTATATGTGGCATTCATCATCAAAGCTTTAAATGTATGTCTATATAAAATTACATGATGACATCATTATTGACGTCACCTCAACTTTTGTATATAGCCCTGGGTTGTATATAACACATCCCTATGCATGAACATACACAGTTTCAATGCAACATGCTTTTCAGTTCTCTTGAGACTTTGTCAGAAACAAATTCAGAAACAAAGTAATCACTATTCAGTGATACTCATGCATGCATTGTTCACAGGGGATTATCCTAAATACTGGAAACATCCTTTTACATGTATATCACAAACAGGACTGAAATTGACAAATATTCCCCTGAATATTAGCTCATACATAAAAATGATTTCCTTAAGCTTCTTACTGACAATTGAAGGATTCTGTTTTTATTACTTGGTTACAGTGCAGAAGAGTGCAGGAGTACAATAACATGTAAACGCTGTTCAGCACAAACAGTCAATCGGAACTAATCGCATAGACTCCCATTGTTAGTTGCCAGTGCAATTAATTGCAGCACCCATCTTGGAAGTCAGGTCAAATCTCATTGTACAATTATACATAATCCACTTACAATGTATAACACTTGTAACCAACCATCACTGCCTACCATTTTTCATGCCCAAGTTTTCACCAAAAAAAGTGTAATAAAACAAATGATCTTACTCTAAGGAAAGGGAAATATTAGGTAGAATATTCTCAATTTCGAGAATCAAACAGTGATAGCAATCTCAAAAATAGAAAGGATGTACATTACATGTATGTACAGAGCATGGTAGTTGTCACATTTATTTGATTTAATTACTGAACTTTTGAATTTAAGAATCAATCAAATCACAGATTTATTTGAAATAATTTGATAACTGATTATCACTGGTCCACCAATCTTGCATAAAGGCTTTGTAAAAAAAAGTATTTCATAGATTTTTTTTGTACTCTCCCTGTAAAGACAGTCCCAGCTTTCTTTTAGGGAAAGAAAAAGTCAAGCTGTTGTTGATCAGTAACACTGTGAACTAATTTATCTGAACATATCGTCACCATTTTGTCAATGTGATAAATCCACTGAAACCCAGATTTTAAGGAATATCAGCTTTTTTGATTTTCTAACATTTTATGATACAACTCTATGTAATTCCAAAATTTTGAGACACACAATTGTATTGTTCATAATATTAAAGGCTAATTACACCACGAGGTGAATGTGTGACAACTTCATTTTATTTTCGTTGTTGACGAAGTGACAAATCTCTATTTGTCAATGAGTCTGATTGATTATACATGTGTACAATATTTAAATGTATGAAGCATGTACAATTTGCATTTTGATAAAGTTACAAATCTGCCTTTGAAAAGTATATAACTTTTGTACTTGTGCACACGACAACTCTGTGTATAAACATAATGTGTGTACATGTACGTGTGATCAAGTAACATTTCCGTTTTGAATAAGTGATGAACATCTTTTATGTCTCCTGATTTAACATACTTTTTATGAAAATGAGACAACTGCTGGGCTATTTAACTAATGGGCTATTGCATCAGTTATATTTTTCAATTTTAGGGGAGAAAAGTACAGTGTGTATCAAAATAAATGCAAACAACATATACCAGACGTAGAATGTGTAACCAACATAGATAATATTGGTATAGTTTGAAAGATACGCCTTTACACTTTAAAATGAGACATAAAATGTCCAAGAGAGGTCAAATTGACAGTGGGACCAACATTTCAATTTTTATAGGCATTGGGACAAAGGTAACATAACTGCCTCTGTGTGGATATTTGCCTGGCCTACAAAAAATGTTTTAAACGAGTTAGCACAATTCAAAAAGCTTTCTTGCTCTAACCTCATGCTAAAATGTTTAGCAAGTAAACATATTTACAAACTGATAGCAAGAAAGTGTTTAGGATTGTGTTTACTCGCAAAACACATTTTTTTGGTCGGCCAGGCAATTTAAAAATTCTGCAGAACTTCTTTAGATACAACACTGTGTTAAAAGTTTGCGTTTTCAATTTGGGTGAATGGTTGTATTCTAAGAGCTTGCTAATATCATTATCATTTTACTTGTTTGTTATTACGTTTCTACCAAATGAAAATACTTATTCAATTTGGATCTAGGCGAAGAAATTGATGCGACTATATAACCTTGCAGTAAGCAATTTTTCATTAAAAAAGGTGCAGCACACATTGCACATTTCGTATCTAGTAATTAAAGCTAAAACAACTCTTTTGGTAATTTCTGAAATCAAGGGAAATCATTCATTGTCTTAGAATCCTGTTGGTATATTTTAATTTCAACTTGGATCAAAGGCTAGTTATATTTTGACATTTGGCTCGGCCAATCAAAGGGACCCATCTCAATTTACAGAGAAGCTTAGAATGTTTATAGAGAGAAATGGAAGTAGCTCAAGCATACTGTATATACTAATTTTTGTGGAACATTTTTTGCTGCTCTAATTTTTTTAGCGAAAAAGAACAGCCATCTTCATGACTTAAGAGACTTTAGTTAGTTTTGCTAATTTAACAATGTAAAGGTTATTCTTGATAAAGCTTTCGTTTTCCAAAAACTTCAGAAGAGTTTGCCATTTCTTACAGTTTGAAAGACAATGGTTTGCGTATGTGCATATAATTTGTTGTTTCTAAAGAATCATCATTCCATCATCACATGTGATGCGATCAAGCTAAATGAGTCGTTTGTAGGGAATTTTTATTGGTAGATACAGGCCAAAATAGGACCACTTCATCACATCTTTTGGTCACACCTCTTGGTGTTCCAACTTTGTTAATTGTTTAACTAAAGATGGTATCAGCTTGCCGTTTTCGAAGCAGTAATGCTGAGATTGTGCCCTTTTCAAATTTGTAATAAAAAAAAATTGACCAGGGTCGACAAACGACTCATGTAGCTTGATCGCATTACATATTTTGATGCATTAGTCACTGGTCCTTATTCATGACGTAAAAGCAAAATTATTTTCACTTTTTTATTACTTAGAATGACATAACCATGTGTCCCCTTCAT